GGAATGGTGAGATTGTTATCTCCTAGTTCTGCCAAAACATTAAACATTTTGATAATGGAAAAAATAAAAGAATTTGGTATAGATAGTAAAGATATTGCAGGTAAAACTACAGATGGCTGTAGGTGGATAATGAAATGGGGCACCATATTCAAGATTCCACATCAGATATGCCAGTATCATTCAACTAATTTGAGTGTTTCTGATTTGATACACGCTAAAAAAGATTGTCACGAAATTGTGAACAAAAAATTTGAATTGGATATTGAAACAAAAATGGAAACTGATGGAGAGACTGAAGGAGAGTTATTGACTATTTAGAGGATGAGATTGAATAAGAAGAAAATATCAAAAAAAGTCTACAGAAACTTTGAACACTAATTAAGTTTCTGAAATATTCATTGTTTTGATATGAATTTCTTAAAAAAAAAATACAAGAAATTTACAGATCTTTGTATGACAAAGGACTGTTGCTCGACAACAACACTAGATGGAACAGTGTTTTTCAGATGATTAAAAGATTTTTGGATTGCTTAGAAGCTGTAAAAAAAAAACACTCGATAACTAAACAGATTAAACATTTGGAAGTCATCGCTGACGCTGCAGTTTGCCTGGAAAAACCAAATACAACAATTTTAGAGTCTGACATTGTTATGGAAACGTTAGTAAAAATATTGAAGGTTGTAGAAACTGACATCAGTTCTAACTTTGCAGAGGCTTTAATCTCCAGATACGAAAATCGTAAAAACATTATTTTGGGATCATTTTTTTAAAATAAAAAACATTTTTTCACACTTCCAAAAAAGATATTCAAGTTTATGCTGCAAAATTATTTGATCATTTATTTGCAACAAAAGAAAATAGTCTCCAACCAATATCAGATGATCGCGCTAAAAGCAAACAAGACAAAAACCATAAAAATCCACATCTTTTTTTGCTAAAATTCAAGAAGTTTTACATCAAAATCAATCAGCAGCTAAAAAGCCAAAATAAGTCAAGTCCTTTACCAATCAGTTTAAATATGAAGTAACTGGTGTGAAATCAGAAGCAGTTTTGAAATTTGAACTAGCCATCCACAGTTCAAGCAACTTCCATGGAAGCAGAAACAGTTTTTTCCTCATCTTTCAGATTTGTCACAAAGTTTTCTTCCTCAACTTACCCCTGGTGCTAACAAAGCTGTTGATAAAGTTTGGCATGCTGGTATTCTCCATAAGCTTTCTACTTACGGTGTATCTGGTAACATGTTTAAGATTATTGAGTCCATCCTTTCTAATTGTAGAATAAAAGTTGTCCTTGATGGATAGCACTCTTCTTCATATCCTGTAAATTTCCTCATAGTTCAATCCTTGGTCCTATACTCTTTTTTATTTACATTAACAATCTTCCAGATATTCTCAAACCAAAGGTGGAATTGTTCGCTGATGACATTACCATTTATTCTTGTTATGATAAGAAGCCAACACTCTCTGACTCTCTGATTGCTTAGAAGGGGCATCTAGGCTTGAAAAGAATTTTACTTCTGCTACAGCATGGGGCTTACAATGGCTGGTGAACTTTATTTCAGATAAAACTTTATTTTTTTCAGCCAATCGTTATCGTAATTATTTAGATCTTCCTATATTTATAAACAGTAATGTATTCGATGAATCATCTACCCTTCAACATCTAGGATTAACTTTTACTTCTTTCTTGAATACCAAATTCATTGCAAAATTAGCATCAAATTAGCTAAGGTTGCGTCTCTTTATCGAGCTAAACACTTTCTTACTTCGGATTCTATTCTTTATTCCTCTAAAGCTCAAATCCATCCATGTATGGAATACTGTTGCCATATCTGGGGCGGATTTTCTAATGATGCTCTTTCTCTTTCAGACAAGGTGCTAAAATGCATTGCAAACATAGCTTAACCTGCTCATGCAGCCAACCTCCAACCAAATCAAATCGTCATAATCTTGCTTCTGTTTCTCTTTTCTATAAATACTATAATGGGCACTGCTCTAAAGTGCTATTGTCTTTTGTGCCATCTACTAAAATTCATTCTCATGTTACTCATCATTTAATTAAATCTCATTTTTTTACTTAGACTGTTCCTAAGTGCTTTAAAAACTCTTATTCGTCTAGTTTTTTTCCTCAAACATCAGTTCTTTGGAATTCGTTTAATTTATCTTGCTTTCCTAATTTACATTATACATATATATAATATAATATATAAATGTATAATGTATAAAACTGAAAATGCTAATTAAAAGCAATTATTTATATATCTACGCTCTATAGGGTCACTTAGTTGAAAATATAAAAAAAAGAAAAGTTTCTTTAGTTATCAAAAAAGCTACTTTTTGGATATAATACACTGATAAAATCATTTATAACATCTAAATAACATCTAAATAACATCTAAATAACATCTAAATAACATCTAAATAACATTTTTATGACTTACTTAGGCAAGTAAATTATATAATTATGTTATAGTTATGACAAGAGCATAACTATAACCTAAATTAACCTAATTTAACTGAGTTAAGATAAGTAACATAATAACCTTTTTAACTGAGTTAAGATAAGTAACATAATAACCTAATTTAACTGAGTTAAGATAAGTAACATAATAACCTTTTTAACTGAGTTAAGATAAGTAACATAATAACCTTTTTAACTGAGTTAAAATAAGTAACATAATAACCTTTTTAACTGAGTTAAGATAAGTAACATAATAACCTTTTTAACTGAGTTAAGATAAGTAACATAATAACCTTTTTAACTGAGTTAAGATAAGTAACATAATAACCTAATTTAACTGAGTTAAGATAAGTAACATAATAACCTTTTTAACTGAGTTAAGATAAGTAACATAATAACCTTTTTAACTGAGTTAAGATAAGTAACATAATAACCTTTTTAACTGAGTTAAGATAAGTAACATAATAACCTTTTTAACTGAGTTAAAATAAGTAACATAATAACCTTTTTAAGTGAGTTAAGATAAGTAACATAATAACCTTTTTAAGTGAGTTAAGATAAGTAACATAATAACCTAATTTAACTGAGTTAAGATAAGTAACATAATAACCTTTTTAACTGAGTTAAGATAAGTAACATAATAACCTTTTTAACTGAGTTAAGATAAGTAACATAATAACCTTTTTAAGTGAGTTAAGATAAGTAACATAATAACCTTTTTAACTGAGTTAAGATAAGTAACATAATAACCTTTTTAACTGAGTTAAGATAAGTAACATAATAACCTTTTTAAAATGGAATGAAAAACTGTAAATTGAAAGTTATATTTAGTTATCAACTCCACCAAATTTCCACCTTTTTGACTTGTTATTTTTAAATTATTTTAGCTGAAAATAAAAGATCTAAATTAATATAAAGATGTAGTTTCTTCATCTATTATGAAAAATTTCATTCAGAATTCCTTATAAAATATTTTTCATCAATATGGTCATTATAAAGATGTGGTCATTATAAAATTTTTTTGATAGATAATGATAGAACAGAATAAACTATATAAAATAAAACTATATAATAAGATTAAAACATGAAAGATGTTAAAAAAGAGTAAGATAATGATTATTTTGATAAGTTATTATTTTGATAGGGTAAAATTTTAGGATTTCTGCAAAAGTTCAATCCAATTAACTAGTTGCCAAAAAAAGGTTGTTTAAAAAATAATTGCATTACCAAGTTCGACTTTTGAATCTTATGGCCTTTCTCTTTCTTCCATTATTCACACAATTAAAGAGATTAAAAAAATGTTAGAAATTTAAATTACTCCAGCTTCTGTTGCTACAGTCATATATCAATTAAACTATTCTATGGCTGGTGGTAGACAACATTCCTGTCATAGTCTTACAAAAGTTTTCTTTAGACACTCTTCAATTCTCTCTAATACGATTTTATATATTAATTATAATAAACTATTTAATAAGTGCTTAACTATTTCTTGTTTTGCTGGAAAATGGAAAATATGGTTCCATTTTTTAAAAACTCTGGATAACATTCTGACCGATCCAACTATTGTCCGATTAGTTTTCTCTCTACTATTAGAAAGGTTGTGTGAGTCTTTGATCAACAAATTTCTAACATCCCATCTCTTACTGTGAGAATATGGTTTTTGATCTTCTTGTTCTATGAGTTCTATGAGTAAAAGATTCTATTGTGCATAAGACAGCGGTGGCGGTGGCTATTGCTCTTGACATATCTAATGCTTTCAATAAAGTGTAGCATTTTATGCTCTATAAGCTTCATATGGTACATCTGGGAAAGATTTTGAGATAATCTAATCATTTCTTTCTATCCACTTTATTAAAGTCATCCTTGAAGGCCAACACTCTCCATTTCCAGTAACTTCAGTGCTATTATAAGATTCTATCCTTGGTCCTGTTTTGTTTCTTATCTAAATTGATGATCTTTCTGATAACATTACATCCAATGAGGCCCTTTTGCTGATGACTTTACTTAGAAAAACTTTAAAATCTTAACAATTTAATCCTGTCTTCTCTTTTCAATTGCTTAGTACAAGCAGGGGATCTTGAATCTCACTACTGTAACTAATTGATCTCACTTCTGTAACAGACTGATCTCACTTCAGATCTGTAATTATTTGATCTCACTTCTACAGCAGATTGGAACTTGCAGTGGCTTATGAAGTCTTCTTGTGAACTCCAACAAAAATCAGTTATTTACAGCAAACAACTATCACAATACTGTCAACATGTTAATAAATGTCCCTCTTTGTCCTCTTCTTTAAGTCATATTGAATTATAATCCACTACTGACCTCTTATGGAAACCATATATACAACCAATTGCAAAATAAGCATCTGCTAAAGTTGCTTCTCTTCATTGTTCTCGCAATTATCTTACTCTCAAGGAGTTCCCTATTTAAATTATTTATATATTTTAAAACAGGAAACTCCTTGAGGTATGGTTTAAGGAGGTACGCCATCCTTAATGTTGAAATTCAATTGGTTCTGAGCAATCTTTTTATTAATCCTATGCCAAACGGTAAAACTAAATTGTTGCATTAGGGCCAGATTTACACCCTTGGGGGCCTTAGGCTGAGCTAATATTTTGGGCCCTCCAAAATAATATTAAAAAATAGTTTGAATGAAAAACCATTATATGGTTTATATAGTATTAAAATGCTTGCTGTTTTCTCTTGTACAATTTTTTAGTTTAACGCTACAGCTTTCATTCATTTTGAATTTGTGCGTAATTATTTTCTAATAGAATTATAGTGTTGCAATAGTAAATGATTGTGCAAATAAAACTTTACAAAGATTTAAGATTTATCCTAAGGAAATTTTTGTTTAGAAATCATGAAATTTTTTAATGATAACTCTCTAAAAACTCAAGTTGAAAAAAAAAAAAATTGAGCAAGTTGAAATATTTTTCAAACCTGTTTTGAGGCCTTAAAATCATGGGGCTTAGGATAATGCCTAGTTAGCCTGTAGGTAAATCCAACCCTAGTTGTATTACCTAGTAGCATTAAGTGCCAAGCAGTGTTAATAATATAAGACTATATTGTGATACTTTTTACTATTTATGAATAATCTAATTACAGCCAATTGATAACAAAAATAAATGACAAAAAACATAAGTGTTTTTGTATAAACTTAATTTATGTACAGGTAGGAAAGAGCTTCTTGTTGGAGTCAAATTAATTATTACTTTGAAGAGGCTCAGAACAAATAGTTAGTTTCTCCAGAGTCTATGATGTTTACATCAACATCATGCTCTTTGCCATTGTTCAACACTGTAATAGATACTTCACTACAAAAATCAAAAACTGAACCAAACTCAAATTTGCAAAACTAATCTTTTGAAGAAACAATATCTTACGTACTATAGTTGTAAGTGTAACTTTTTATTTTTTTAAATTAAATTCTGCTAGGCCTAGGCCAAGGGGCAATTATAGTCAAAGAGGATACTCTACTCTACATATTTTCTACCAGTTTTTACAAAATCCTTTCTCAGTTATAACTTATCTTTAAAACAAGAACCTTAATAAACAAGACTACTACTTTGTAAGAAAAGAGTGTGCTAAAAAGTTTTATATTTCTAGCTATCAATACACCAACAAAATTTTCATATAAAATAATTTTAAAATAAAAAAACAACTTGTAGAGTTGTAAAACATAAATAAATAACAAGACCACTAAAGTAACTAAGCAAAAGAAAAGTAAGTACAACAAGATTAAACTTAAAAAAATTAAATAAAAAATATGTTTGATAAAAAGCTAACAAAATATTAAAAAAATAATGTCTTTAAAAAATCCTGACATAGTCATCAATACTTAGTCTAACCAATCAAAATTAACAACAACTAAAACATGAAGTTGTCTCAACAAAATACAATAGTTAAATAAAGATTATACATTCATTTAAATAGTGAACATAAAAAAATTTCAATAATAAAAAACTAACTTTTAATATCCCTGTGTACAATATTTTTATTGTGTAAGTATTCCAATCCACAAAGAATTTGATAAGATTTTTCTGATGCTGTCTTCTCATCTAAAGCTCCTTCATTTGATATTTTATCATAAAGAGATCCCTAAAAATTAACATTAAACATATGTATATATGTATATATATATATATATATATATATATATATATATATATATATATATATATATATACACACACAAAATTTAGACATATAAACAAATATATAAAATAAATATATTTGTATATAAAAATAAATATATAAACAAAAAAAATTATTTTATTTTTTCCGTGTATATATATATATATATATATATTTATTTATTTATATATATATATATATATATATATATATATATATATATATATATATATATATATATATATATATATATATATATATATATATATATATATATATATTTATATATATATATATATTTATATATATATATTTATATATATATATATATATATATATATATATATATATATATATATATATATATATATATATATATATATATATATATATATATATATATATATATATATATATATATATATATAAATTAGGTAGTCTAATTGAGGGAATTTTTAAATCTAAAAGACCATACACCCTTTATTTGGGTCAAACGACTAAAATATTTGAGCTCAACAGCATTTTTTTTTTATTTCTCAAAAACAACTTTTAGTTGTAGTTAAATAAAAAATTTTGGAAGTTTTTTATGTGATGATTATTTTTTTCTCTTTCTGTGATGATTATTTTTACCTTTATGTTCAACTAAAAACACATGGCATCATAGATTTTTTATTGTTTTTTTTTTGTTTTTTGCGTTTAAAACATTACAATATAAAAGGGATAACAGTTTTATGTTATTGAATTGTATTTAAAAAAAATTAAATTTAGTTTTGTTTTGTTATGATGAGAAGATTAGATTTAAATAAATTTACTTTTAAAAATGTTGTACTGAAAATAAAAAGTAAACTTTTAAGAAAATAAAATAAACTTAAAACTCTGTTCCAGAATTTAAAATGTCCACCTCTTCCAGTTGTTCTAAAAGCAAACTTTTTTAACAGCTAACAATGTGTTCTGTTTATTCTTCTCATTATTGATCATTATCAAAAACTGTTGCATTATTCCAACAGTTCTTTCTGAATGATCTTTAACTACAATTAAAGATTTAGTATAATTCAAAAAGCTTTTGAAAACAGATTGAGTAAACTAAAACTTAGGTTGAAGTGAAAATTAATCTTTTATTCATTGTTCTAGTTATATTTTACGTATCATATATATTTTCTTTCATATATTTTTTATTGGTTTTTACCAAGTTAAAATCGGCATTTCAAAAGTTGAAATGGCTTTTCCAATACTTGCTTTTTCCTCAAATGACAAATCATCACCTAACAGAGTAAAGAGAATTATTTTTGGATCTAAATATCAACTATATTAGTATAGGGAATTTAAAACTGCATTGACAGCATCTTGTTTAGCACAAAGTTTTTAGCACTGGTGCATTTGGTGTATTGCTTTTAAAACAAAGGAACTCTAAAAGTGTCATTTGTAAATACCATTTGGCATAAAAGCAAACTGTTAATTCACTATATTAGCCTGAGTTCCGTCTTCAGTTTATTGTTTAGATTTAAAACTCAAGTTGGTTTGAAAGAAGGTTTAGGTACTACATTGCTTTGGAAAGAAATCTAGCATAAAATATTACTCCAGGTTTTTTTTAGTTAAATTGAAGATCGAGAAAGGTAAATCATTCTGCAAGCTCCTTCCTATCTTCTCTGATAATATATTAATTTTCTTTTTTTCTTTTTTTATGTTTCTTAAGATTTGAATATTCAGGGTGGCCATATAGAATTTTTATAAGAAAAAGAGGATATTAGAGGATTTTAGAGGAAATTTCGCATTTAATTTAGAGGATTCAACAATGTCATTTTTTGTTAGATGACATGGTTTTGCTAAAAATGATTTTTTACAACCCAATTCTCATTTCAGACGTTACGCATTTTGCAGACCATGAATTTTGAACATTATACTACCATCAAGAAATAAAAAAAATAAAAAAGAGGAGTTAAAGAGGAGATTTTATCACATTTTTAACATTTTAGAAGATAAGAGAGGATTTTAGAGGAGGTTTTTGAAAAAGAGGACTTTAGAGAATTTGAAAGGAGCTGTGGCCACCCTGATTTACCTTGTGGTGACAATACACTCTGATTGTATTTAATGTTAAATTTATTCATGATTTATATTATACATTCCTTATGGTGACACCAAATTTAAAAATAAAATCTCTATGTTGAATTTAATTATGATTCATAATCCTTATGGTGACACTTAATTCAAAATAAAATCAATATGTTGAATTTAATTATGATTTATATTATATATTCCTTATATTTTATCATATTTTTAACTTTTTAGAGGATAATAAATGATTTTAGAGGAGATTTTTGAAAAAAGAGGACTTTAGAGAATTTTAGAAAAGCTGTGGCCACCCTCATATTAATTGTACAGATTTACAAAATTTTTTACTTGACTTTAATCATTCAGTATAAAAAATCCAAATTTAATTCATTGTTCTTTTATCTTAACCAAAAGACAGTGGAAAATACTTTTTTTGATGTTCTAGGCAACAATGATAGGTTGTTGACTATGTGCTGCAGGATCTTCATCCCAGGTCACTGGTACATGTTTCAACACACAATAGCTTTGTTCTTTAAGGCTAATGTGTGCTGATACTACAAGATTTTTTAAGAGTTGAGAAATGGTATTCACCCCCTCTGCCTAGGTAAGATATATACAGTAAAAAAAAAAAGTTTTCTATTAAAAATAATTCTTCTTTTTGTTTTACTTTACAACTTATTCTGCAAGTTTTTGCAATTCTACAAATTCTTGATCGTAAATAAACTTTTCTATAAATTTATTTAAAGCTTTAAAAATACTTTATATTTATATCATTCATACTACATTATTTTATCTTTAAAAGCATTATCTTAGTGAAAATATGAAGATGTTGCCAGAGGATCACTGCAAAATTCCAGAATTCTTGCAGCCATTCACTTTTTTTCAAGAAAATCAAGAACTTGAATTTTCTTTTTCAAAAAACCGATTGCAGTGCTGCTCATTTTCATTTCCTGAACTTGACATCAATCTTAAGACATTTTAGCAATTCAGAGAGGATGACAAAAAAAAAAGTTAAAGAGACTCACTTCATCTAATATTGAATGCTAGCATCAAAAATTATGAAAATTTTTTGCTTTAGAAAATCAGAATTTGAGGAAAAGTAAAGTTTATGAAAAATTAAAATTTGAAATAGTATAAATAAATGCAAAGTCAGAAATATATAAATATAAATACAATTATATGATTTTGAAATTTTTACTTAATATATATTTTTTACTGTATTCACTTCCCAAAGGTCACAACGGCCAGGTAATACTCTGTTTTATCCTGATGTTTATAATTCATACATAAACTTTCCTTGATTTAAAAATAATCAAAAAATAAAAAATAAAATTAACGTTTAATAAACAAA